AGGTTTGGGTAAATGTAGCCATATTACCTTTTATGAGTCCTATCTGTACTTCTGACGGCTGGTTGACTCTCCTTCACAAATGACTGCTCTTATACTTTAAATGAACATCTGCATAAAGAACACTAACTTCGTAGTGATACAGTCAGTGCAAGCAAAGATATTGCCCAATGTTCTTCTTTCTCTCTCTCTCTCTCTCTCTCTCTCTCTCTCTCTCTCTCTCTCTCTCTCTCTCTCTCTCTTTTCTGCAAGTGTTTGAATATATACATACATTTAAATTCAATGACAAAATTCTGAAGAAATCTACTGCTTCCTCTAACTACTCTCTCTTTGTTTCCGCCCATGTTCCTTCCCTTCAGAGCCAGAACCACAGTTGGGCATGCTAATCCTTAGCAATATTACTCCTGACAGCTTCAACATGTCATGGACCACGAAAGCTGGGCTTTTTGCAAAGATTGTTATCAATGTGAGGGATCCTCATTCATTGCATGAGTCTCAACAGCTCACAGTCCCAGGAGATACACAGCAAGCTCACATCACGGGCTTGGTGGAGAACACTGCCTATAATGTCAGTGTGACAGGGACCACCTGGGCTGGTGACTCCACCAGACCCATCACTGCCATTGTTGTCACAGGTATTCAAAGGTTCTCATTGTCTGTTTAAGATTCTGGGAAAAGGATATAGGCATTATAAAGGAGAAATCCAATCTCAAACATAGTCTTGACTCCAAATGTAAAAGTCTTTATTTTTAACCTACAGGTTGTGTGTGTGTGTGTGTGTGTGTGTGTGTGTGTGTGTGTATTACAAGTTTATATATATGGTGCAAAGTGATGTTTTAACATGTATATATTATAAATCACTAAAAAATCAATTAATACATCTGCCTTTTGTGATGAGGATATTTAAAATCTAATCTTCCAGCAATTTTGGAACATCCAAGTAATTTTTATTAACTGAGGACACTACTCTATGCAATAACTCATCCAAGCTTATTCCTTTTGTCCAACTGAACTTTGTACCTCTTGACCAATGGCAATCAGACAACCACAGCCTCCTCTCTACTTTCATCAGTTCAATTCATTTAGATTCTCCATAACAGGGAGATCATGAAGTGATTTTTTTCCTGTGCCTGGATTTCACTTACTGTCCTCCAGGTTTACCTGTGGAGTCAATAATGACAAAATTACTATAGGCAAGATATGTCAGTAGGTACAGCTAAGTGTTTATAGTAGCTGGGAGCAAGCCTGGCTGATTTCTAAACCTCTCTCACATCATCTTACGAACGTAGTCTCGGCAAGTTGCAAATTTATTTAAACCCCAATTTCTTTATTAGGGAAGAGAGTATCCATTTGTGTTCCTGGGTACCTATACTCGGAATCTAGCAGACAGGGGTGAAATGTCACTGCCTGGGATCCTCTCGATATTCTTTCCATGCTATGTCCCTCTGTTGTTTCTCATCAGTAAAGTGGTCTTGTTAAAAGAAACCCAGGCTGGGATGTAGCTCAGAGGTAAAGTCATGGCCAGCGTGAGTAGGCCTTAGTTTTCCTTCACATACCTGCACATAAAGAGCTAAAAAAACCAACAAGCCAACAAGCCCAGATGAAATAATAGAAATATGCATTACAACTTCCTCTTAGTAGAACATCAGGTGTGTAGCTTAAGGTTTTAAATAGTTATTTTTTTTTTCCTTTTCAATCATCGAATGTGAATTTAAGCCATTTCTTCAATACAGCAGAAAGAACAGGTGTGAGAGGAGAGTCTTACTACTCCAAGCACACAGATGCCATCAGGCCCTTACTTGCTGCCTTCTGCAGGACCTCCCACAGGACACAGAGAAGAGAGCCAGGCTGAGACAGCCGCACTCAGGGAGGAAGCACAGATCCGGTTACATTATTGTTTCTGCTAATCCATAATGTAAAGAGACTCCACATTTTGAAAGAGGCGTACCAAACAAGAAAAGAAAATGAATAGGAAAGGCTAGGGGTGGGAGACAAGCATTTGACTGACTAAGTAACCTGAAAGTAACCTGTTTTCGCTGGAATTCACTGCTTTGATGGCACAGAGCTACAGAGACCAGCTATAAAAGAAAGTCAGCACTTATGTAAACAAAAGCAACATTTGAGACCCTTGTTTTAAAAACCAAGACTGTTTGAACAGCAACTATGATTTCATCTTTGCTTTGATAAAATTACAATTCTTGGGAAATCTTCTCATTAAAAAAAAGAAAATAAACATTAACTGTTTCCAAATCAGCACAGGAAGTCCAAGCCACAGCAAAACATAAGTCTCTGTTTCTGGATGAAGGCATTCATTCACTCATTCAGATGCCAACGACTTCTTTTTAAATATTTTCTTTATATCCTAGGGATTTTAGCTGGAAAAAGAAAGACAGGAAGGAAGGAAGGAAGGAAGGAAGGAAGGAAGGAAGGAAGGAAGGAAGGAAGGAAGGAAGGGAGTTCTAAACTAAATTCTGCCAAAGCAGACTTGGACATGGATCCCCCCCCTTTGATATAGAGCAGATGCATTCAGCATGGCTATGCGCCATTGTACTTGAGAGAATACACTGGGGATTCTCCTCAGGCTTCTCTATGCTCAGGATGTGTCTGCACTGATGGGCTGGGGATGGAGAGAGAACACTGAACTCAGAGCAAGCCCACGTTGCATTCCAGCTTACCCATGTACTAGATCTGGGAACTTGGAGAAGTCTTTCTTTTCCCATCAATGTAATGAAGGTTAGCAGGCTATACCTCCTTACAGTATTATTCATCATGTTACACTGGATCAAGAAAGTAACTCAACTAGGAGTTATTTTCAGGAACTTGGCTACCATAAGGTCACTCTTTGGGAAGCCCAAGCAGTGTGTGAAAAGACTCATTGGCAACTAGGAAATAAGTGTGTCTGGGACACAGATGTTTGATGAATGGATGAACAAAGCATGATAACAGGATACCCAGAAAAGTAAACAGCACAAAGTTTGTCAAGTCTTAGACTGTCTTCCTGGACTGTAAACATAAGCTTAAAATATGAACCAGAGTAAAATATAAAATACACTAAAAAGGCAGTATGCTTGCAACAACAATAAAAAATCTAATTTGCTTCAGAACTAGGAACAGAAAAAAAAGATAAAGGTCCCAAGCTGACACAGGGTGTCATATTTCTGTAGTGAGAAGTGCATGGCCTGGGTTAGGATCAGCTTAAACTTTGCTCTGTCACATGCTAGGGTGAGATTTGGGCCAAATCATTCTACCACCTTTTAAAAATCTATGATTGGAAGTGACACTTGCTACACCGTCTTATTGAGAAAAATCACTCTACACAACACTATCAGGTACCCAATACATTATTATTAAATGTTCCTTTTCTGAGTATTCACTCATAGGATGATTGACTGGGAATCTGCCAGTGATTTTGAAGTCATGGTATTCATTCACGGGATGATTGACTGGGAATCTGTCAGTGTTTTTGGAGCCATGGTATTCACTCATGGGATGATTTACTGGAAATCTATCAGTGTTCTTGGAGTCAGGGGTATCCACTCACGGGATGATTGACTGGGAATCTGTCAGTGTTCTTAGAGTCATGGGCTGCTCTAGCCAAATCAGTGCTGCTAACCTGAGTCATTTTCACTCCTCCCTTCTTTCAGAGGCCTTGTCCCTTCTGGAAAATTTAACCATTTCCGACACTAATCCCTACGGGTTCACAGTTTCCTGGACGGCATCGGAGAATGCCTTTGACAGCTTTGTAGTTACGGTGGTGGATTCTGGGAAGCTGCTGGACCCCCAGGAATTCACACTTTCAGGAACCCAGAGGAAGCTGGAGCTTAGAGGCCTCATAACTGGTATTGGCTATGAGGTCCTGGTCTCTGGCTTCACCCAAGGGCACCAAACCAAGCCCTTGAGGGCTGAGGCTATTACAGGTATTTCATTCAAGAGAGCCATACTCTCCTCTTCCTGGTCCCTTCCCATGTAGTCTGTCTACGGGATCACTGTGATTTTAACATTTTGTCTGTATTCTCCATTTAATCCACAAATGTGGCTTGTTCTTCCATGCTTTCCCTTGTTTCAAACATCTAATGAGCACTCACGCCTCCCATCCTAGAAAGGAGAAGGTCGAAATGGTTCCCTTCAATGTTCCAAGTCCTTTAGTTCATGTCTTGCCCATAGCTCTCATATGCTTGCTCCACTGACCTTCCTCTGTGTCCATCCTGGCTGGTCCCCAGCTACATTTCAGCCTTCTCAAAAGAAATATACCAATGAGTATATTTTGAAAAAGTATTTTAAAGTCTTTGCTACCTCAGAGTCTCAACCTGTGATCTTAACCAACTTACCTAGTTATCTTACCATTGGAAACTAAAAGAAATTTATTAAACTAGTCTTTTATAAAAAAACTAATATCAGAGAGGTTGTCCAACACAGACTAAATCCATAATGTTCTCAAAACTAATACCTCCTATGGAAATCCCACATTAACCATCTTAACAGTCAAAAACCTGTGTTTCCCAAAGTATTTCTAGAGAAGGCAATCTCTAGAGAGTGTTCACAGACCTCATTTGATGACATTTCATTTTGAGATAAGTTTGGAAACAGGATCTTTGACAACATAGGCTGTTTGGAATATCTTATTGTGTGTTAGCAGGGAGCAGTATTCTCCAAACTTGTTTTACAAGGAATTCTTTGTAAAGGAAGGGGATAAAAATAGGAATAGTTTGTTTTAAACACACTTTGGGAAACCCAGCTTCAGATTTATTTTGACCTCGAGTTTTGTCTAGTTATGAAAATAACCCCTGGGTACAAAAGATATTTAAATATATTTCAAGAGGTTCCAAGCCTCATTCTACCATATTACACTTACCTAATGGCTAAAATAGCAAAGAAGTATAATTGACAGAAAAAGAGGTAAAGAATGGCAGCTTTCTTCTGTATAGAAGCTCCTGTGAACAAAGGCAGAATATTTTAGGTTATTTTGCTCTGTAGGGAAATATAATCATCAGAATCATTGGGGATAGTTTCACAAATCGTTAAAGTTGGTTTATTTGTCTTTTTAAAATGAAAAGAAAAGCACTCACAGACGGCGGGCACTCAGCCACTGGAAGACAGAAGAGCAAATGTAAACAAGTTATAGCTTTGAACTTGTTTAATAATGAGTGGGAGGGGCCAACGCTAAGTCCAGATGTGGATTTATGCAGTTACTTTTAGACAAAACTCACAGATGCAAGAGTACACTTGCCTTGTATTGAATGTGTCAACTCCATGTTTTCCCTGTCCTCGCCCTACTAGACTTATTAACATGGAATGGTTTTCTTTCCCAGTATCTCAGGACACTCTGTCTCTGAAAATCAAGGCATGTCTGCACTCTGATAGTCCACCAGGAAGAAGGTTGTATGGACTGCTGATTAATGCTCTGTTTCCTCCTTCTTCCACCATCTTCTCTCCCTCTAGAAGCTGAACCAGAAGTTGACAACCTTCTAGTTTCAGATGCCACTCCAGGTGGTTTCCGTCTGTCCTGGACTGCTGATGAAGGGATATTCGACAGTTTTGTTCTCAGAATTAGAGATACCAAAAAGCAGTCTGAACCACAAGAAATAACCCTCCCTTCCCCCGAACGTACCAGGGACATAACTGGCCTCAGAGAGGCCACTGAGTACGAAATCGAACTCTATGGAATAAGCGGTGGAAGGCGATCCCAGCCAGTCAGTGCCATAGCAACAACAGGTACTGTAAACAAACATGTGCCATAGCAACAACAGTTACTGTGAACGAACAGGAGAGGAGAGAGGAAAGCAAGACTCACTCCTCTTCCTGTAGAGATGGGTAATTACAAGAGCTCTTAGTGCAGGCAGTCTGGCGTTCGAATTCTGGGTCCTTCAAGTGTAGACTGTTCTCCTAGACTGTGTGGACAAGTCTTTACACCAGAAAAAGAATGTGATGGCGATTACCCAGCAGGATGGTGAGGGTTCAGTAAATTAGCTCATGTAAAACCCGTGACGTGGGACCTGACGTGTAGTAAAAGGCCTGTGAAGGAGAGCTAGTCACAGTATCTCTTTCCCGGATCATCATCTTGGCAAGTAGTGGACATTAAAGTCCAAAAAGTCTTCCTTCTCTCTCATGGTATATATCCAGGAACATAACCTTTTGTCATTTGGTCAGATGTTCCAGTTGCACTAGATGAGGGACAACAGATTAATATTTATAAGATGCTTCACACGATCAATCGATACCATGGTTAGCAAGCTAAAAGATGAAGCTGGTAAGACCAGCAGGACAGTCTTCCTGAGGCTCACAAACATGGTTGGACACTTTTAACACATGTACATGCCCTCTATTTGCTATCAGATGTGACAAGAAGAAAGGAAAAGATGGCTGATGCATAGCTGTTATGGTCATAAAACCACATTTGACTCTTTAGAGGGAGAGAAAGTGACCTGAGAGTGTAGTGATAATTTTAGAAAACTGAGGGAAGAGGCAAGATGTCATTCCACAGAGACAGCTGCCTCAAAGGAATTAGAGGAAGAAATTAGAAAATCCCAGAGAAAGGATAAAACCCTGGAAATGATGAGCTTCATACAGAGGAGCTCGGCCTCCTCTATTGACATCTCAAGGATCTGAGACCCAGAAAACTGAAATGCCCTGCCTAAGGTCATTCTGGTATGATGGGCTTATATGAATGTTTTGTAGTTATTATTTTAATAAGTAAACCAGATGACTGATAACCAATGTTAGTCCCTCCCTACTCTGTGCATTAAGACAAGTTTAGTTGTTTGGGAGTATAGACGTGGGTTTGTGGTGTGTGTGTGCGTGTATGAGTTTGGTGTGTGTTTGTGTGTGTGCACATGTATGTGCTCATGTGTGTGCATTCACTAGCATGTGAAAGCCAGAGGTCAACCTCAAATATCATTCTTAGAAGCCAACTACTCTCTCATGTTTGTGTGAGTGTGTGAGTGTGTGTGTGTGTGTGTGTGTGTGTGTCAAGGGCAGAGAGACAGAGAGACAACACAGACAGAGTACAATGTGTGTCCATTTTGTATGTGTGGTGTGGAATGTGCACACCACAACAATTAGATTACAAGTGTGACACCATGCCAGTTCTCCGCATGACTGCTGGGGTTGATCTCAGGTCACTATGCTTACACAGTATGCACACTACAGACTGAATTATCTGTTACTGTGTCAAGAAGCTGCAAGAATCTACCCACAGAAACTATAACCAGTACTTGCACACATGGAGAGTGTGCATTAATTTAGTGATAGGAAAAGCACTGATCCTCTTACACAGAGTGCCCCCACTTCATGTATTGGTGGCACAGTGGTTAGCATAGCTGCCTTCCAGAGTACCCCAACTTTGATCTCCTTCCTCCTGTGGCCACCACAGAATGGCCCTAGATCAGAGGCCCAGACTGATCTTGGTTTATAAACATTGCTCTTCAAAGTTTATTTCTGATCACTGATTTTGTTTTGCATATCTTTTTCTCTAAAAGTCCTGTAGTTCTAAGGGTGGGGAGAAAGTAAACATGAGCTGATTTGCTTTCTTAAGAACAAAAGAAAAGGCAGAGCTTGCTTCTTTTGGGAGGACCCACTCTTAGGCTCCTCTCTATGGGGTCTTAGTTCACAGACAAATAGAAGAGAACATGAGTGTGTGTGTGCATCATGTGTGTGTCCGTGTACACCTGCACACCATGCTCTGGGAGCAGGAGAGGCCAGGATAGGTGACCTAAGCACAGCGAGCACATGCCTAACTTCACCGTCAGTCCTCAGCTGCAAGTTCCCCTTGTATTTGTTCATCCCCTCTGCTATGTTCTCTCCTCCCTGAAACCACTGTGAACCTTCCTCGATGGTGGACTGTCCCCTTACCTCCTGATAATGGTCAGCTGTGACTACTCTTTGTAGGAGAGCTCTGTCTGGCTACCAACTGTCTCCACTTGAGTACCCAGAGCATCATGGAAGGAAGGTAGTACAACCTAGTGATTAGTCAGTGGCCTCTGAGCAAACTCTCAGAGTCGAGTCATGTTTCTCCCACTTAGCACCTGTGTGACCTTGGGGAAGTCTCAAGACCACCATCTGGAGAACAGAACTTAACTCAAAGCTTTGTCAGCCTAAGATTTAAACAGGACACCAGGAGTGACTGTTTACTTTTTCCTTGCCTATTTTAACAATGCAAATTGTAAATTTTATTTTTAATAGATGACAAAAACCAAGAGTTGAAAAGTGGAGTCCTGACTGGGTAGCTGCACATTGGTCCTACCTGGAAGCAATAAATAGTACCACTTTTCTTCTCTCCAGAAATATACAAACACACAAAATTCTACCTACACTGAGTTCTTGAGCAGTGTGTTTGAACAAATCACATATGTTCATATCCGGGTGCTTTATGCTGAGAGCCATGTCTTATCAATAGACCTGAGATGATCCTATGGTCATCATTTAGTCACCCCGTTCATGGGCACTTATTTTGTCATTTGCCTTGTTCCTCTGTACCTGCACTTGCAGTAGCTTCTTCTCCCCACTAAGGTCAGACCTCCATAGAGAGATGCTTCCTCCTCTAGGAAGATAAGAGCTGCCAGGTCCTTGCACAATCCTGAAAGTCCCTCCAAACTAAGCAAGAAACACATCAACAGGAAATCGTGACTGACCTCCTCTTCTATAGACTCCCAAAGCCCACCAAAGGTGCTCACAGTAAGAACCTGAAATACTTCCTTGGTCTGCCACAGTCTGTCAGTACACGTGTTTCTGGAGCTCTCTTCCAGTCATAAGGCCTAAAGTTTAATTGACACCTCTTTCTCACCCTCCAGAACAAAGTCCACACTGTGACCTGCCCACATTTCCCTGTCAGGCAACCTCTGAACTCCTCAGCCCCATGTCAATCACGATGGACTAGAAGCCACACCACAGAGTTACAATTGCATCATTTTGGAAGCCCAATTGGTATACTTCAGAACTATCTGCTTAGCAAATCTCCCTTTGGTAGAACACAGGCTTTTCATGTCCGATACCTCTGATTCAGTCATGCCTTTCCCCGGGAAGTATAAAGACAGAAACCATCGACTGAAAAGCACAAACTTTGTGCCACACACAGCCAGGCATGTTGCTAAATGCCCAGGATACAGGCAGACCAAGGGAGAACCATCTTCGTCCCCATTTCATAGATGTAAATACTGAGCCCCAGTGTCCTAAGGTGTTTGTGGAAGATAAAGTCAAGGTGGAACTCTTTCCAGACTTATTTAAACTCCACAGTTCTTGTCCATAAACCCAGCATCTATCCTCTTAACTGAGTGTAAACTGAATGCATATTAAGTGACAAACACACATTTGCAGAAAGGGAATGAGTTCCTAAATGTTTGGCAATTGCTGCTGATGAAAGGCACCCATTATAAATTTTACATGGAGACCAAGCAGAAGCCCTTTGAGAGCTTTTTAAAAATCAGTTCCATGTATTTAGCTAATGGCAATTCTTTCTTTTAACTGAGTCTAATTGTAAAGAGTAGGTCTCTCCTGCTCTTGTGTGTGTGTGTGTGTGTGGGGGGAGAGAGAGAGAGAGAGAGAGAGAGAGAGAGAGAGAGATGATTGTGTATTCACATGTGTCACCATAGATCTTTGAGAATCGCAGGTGTATGTGTGTGCTCACACTTATAGAGTCGGTGATTGGATGTCTTCCTCTATAACACTCAACTTTATATTCTGAGGCAAGATCTCTCACTAAAGCCAGAGCTTGCCAATTCAGAGGCTCTAGCTACCTGCAGAATATAGAAAGGAATTGGATATCTTACCTCTGCTTTCTGAGAACCAGGTTATAGATGGGTCACTGTGTCTACCCAGCTTGCATGTGGACACTGGGCATCTAAACTCAAGAGTCTCACATTTGGGCTGTTGAGTTTTACCTGTTGTTAATCCACGTGTCCAGCCCCTCTCAGCTTTTTAATAGATGCTATTTCATTGTTCTGTGCTTAGCTCTCTGTTGTAGGGCTTAAGACTCAAGGGCCCTATTCACAGCAGAAAGCTACACACTGAAAAAACAAACTCCTAGGAAGTTCTTTAGTGCAAAAACACCATGTCCTCTGCTCCTCAAATTCCACCACTACTGAGAAGTTGCTACAGATGATGCCTGGCTGCCCTCATACCATGTCTTTTACCAAACATGTTCCCCTGAGCGTGTAATGGATGAGGCCGCTGATTCTCACAATGTTTAAGACTGTAGGCATTGGCGTCATTTTCTGGATGAGAACCTGGAATCTAGAGAAGAAAGCTTTGTCTATGTGACACAGCTTCTAAACTGTGGCATAGCCTATATCAACCAGCAAGGTTTCTAGTTAGAACAAGTCAGTGAATTAAGTAGACAGAGGGAAATCTTCCAAGGCAGAGTTCATGTATTTTAGTAGAGTCTGCTCTCAGCTAGACTCATCCAATCTTTGCTGAGGGTGCCTCAAAGTTCAAGGTAGCCTGTGTGGGAAAGGGTCACCTGAGGAATAGAAGAGAAAAGGCAATCACATCTAGTGAATTCTCTGCATGCCAGAGGCTACACTAAGGGCTTTCCATCCATTATCTCCACTAATCCTCAGAACATTCCTGTGGGTACCACTTTCCCCATTGGAGGGATGTAGCAACCAAAACTCACAGAACGGAAGGGACTTGCCCCAGGTTGCCCAGCCTCTCAGTAGCATTCGAACAACTAAGATCTTGTATGTTCCTGGGACCCTGAGATT